GTTCTTTCGTCGCATGACTGGGGAATTCCCCGATCCGCTAAATACATACGTTGTATTGTGTCATAGACAACATTTTTGAAACATTTTTAATGTAATCGTTGAATTTTCACTTCGTGCAATTTGTTTGCGAGTTTTACGGCTGTGAATGAAAAGAGAGTTTTACAGTTTGTGTTTCAAAACTTACGAATTTAGAGCTAAGTATTGGATATTTATTTATAAAGACTGCAGAAGTGCTTCGGGCTTCGAGAAAATCGGTGAAACGACGAGTAAAAATCCGTGTAGTGTAAACTGAAGTTAAAATTACTATACGTAAGTTTTATTATTTTTTACATATTTTATTACCTAATACAGGACTTGACAAATGTGAAGTGCCGTTTTATTATTCAATTACTTACATATTTTATTTAATTTCAACGTTATCAAATATTATTAGTTTGGGTGTTTATTATTAAGCAGGAAATTCAATATGTTTGAGCTGCTAAGGTGAAAATTTCCTTTCTGTTTTAAACTGAAAGATTATTTTTTTCTTATGATTACAAACGCCACTGGTGAACGAAACTTTTCCAAATTGAAATTAATTAAAAACTGTCTTCGTTCAACTATGTCTCAAAACCGTTTCAAAACCGTCATATTGGCAATTGAAAATGATGTATTGGAAAAGGTTAACTCTCAGGATGCCTTGAACGATTTTGTAACAAAAAAAGTTAGAAGAGTTAATATTTAAGCTTATTGTATGATTTTTTTTAAATTCATATATTAATTACTTATATTCTTTTCATTTGATTCAATATTTTTATTGAATAATGTGATAATATACCTATATAGTAAAACACAGCGTAATTATGAATAAAGTGTTGTGTTAGCGAAAAAATATATTAGGAAGTTAGAAGACGGTAGGGGGGGGAGGGCCTGAGACGAGCATTGCCTAGCAGCCGCGACATGCATAAGCCGGCCCTGTCTGGAGGGCGGGTAAAAAATTCGGAAAATCTTATCTGCTGCGTGTAAAAGGGGAGAAAATAGCTAAAATAAGTAAAAATGAGAAAGGATTGGTAGCTATGCAGTTTGAATTTTCAGTTTCTCTTTGAAAATCGGTGAATTTTCTGAAAAAGCGGAATACCTATAAAAAATGGTGAAATTTTTAGAAAATCTGAATTTTTGATAAATAAGCTGAAATTCAAGAGATAAAAGTGAAAAAAGCGGAAATCCGCTAAAAAGCGGAAAAATCTCATACCTGAGTAAGAGAAAAAGAATTCTTCTACCAAGGTGATGCTTAAATCTGCAATTTCAATGTCGGAAACTATTTGATTAAAATTTGAATTATTATATCAACCCTATTTCCCTTGGCCTACAGTAACTTATTTATTATTTTTTAATTTCCATACTTAAAAAAGGGCCTCAATGGAAAACAAGTAAATTCAAATGAACATATATTTATTTGAAACCTTTCTGAAATCCTACATTTTGAATAGCTTACAAAAATTTTAAGCTGAAAAGATATTAAGTTGAAAAATAAAGTTTCTAAAAAAATTAGAATTTCTTTCTGAACCAAGAATACTAAATTAGTAATGTTTTGCCATCAACAAATGCTTTCAATACTTTTTTTTGGAAGGGGGGGAATGTAGTTAAAATTTGATGTTTGGGAGACATTTTTGATCATAGAAAAAAAATAACCGTTGGACTTTCACATCAAAGTAAAAAAGACTAAATATTATAATAGATATCTTCAGTAAGAATTAAAAAACAAATTATATAAAAAAAAACTAATGAGGTTTAAATAATACAGGGTTACTCATAATTCGCTCTGGGGTTTCGAAGCGTTATAGTAAAAAATCAAGCCGAATATGGCAAAAAAGAACATATGAAATTATTCCGAAAGCATTCAAGTTTTAATTTAAGCAGTTGCCGGTAGATGGCAGCAACGTGTACCACTGAAGCCAGTTGTAGTAAACAGAGGGAATTATGAATAACCCTGTATAATCAAATTAGAGGCAAAATTCACATAAAAATATAACAAATTATAATTAAAAAACATATGATTAATATAAAATTAAAAAGGGTTAAAAAATCAATTTTACTAATAAATATTTAAAAATAAATCTACACATACATCTACTTCTGACACCTCCCACTCTCCCCATGTGAGTGGTATCTTTCTCTTGATTCGTTTAGAAAGTTCCGCTAAAAAAAATGAAAATAAAAAAAAAATTCAGGACTTGTCATAGTAAAGTAACATAAAAAAATAGAACAATAAAAGTATTAAATACTTTGACTATAGGCAGAATCACACATTTCAAAATCACTGGTCATTAACAGTTCCACTGTTATGAGATAGAGATGTCTATATCCTGTTTCTTCACTTGCCCATAGGAAGGTAAGTTCTCGACTGCTCTCTTGGGTAAAAAAGTATAGAATGTCATGAACCTGAAGAAAAAAAATTTATATGACATTCATAGTATGATAAATAATGAAATGTTTTAAAAATGATCAGGGAAAAAGGGGAAAACATAGAATTGCACAATTTGCTTTTTTCTGCATAGGAAATTGCAGAATTTATTCTCACTAAGTTTTAAAACTAATAACAAAATTCATCAATAGATGATACTGGTATGCGGCCATCACTGGTATGCGGGCAAAGAACCAGTTCTTCATTCGCCCTCAATTGTGACAAGAGCTTCTAAAACCGCAATTTCCAGATTAGCAAGCGGTCACACAAAAAGTCTCTCGTTTTTGGAAGGCAGGAGAATCTTTGAGGTCTGCTCCAAACGTCAAACTGAGCAGGCTTCTCCCGAACACATCCTGGACTGTTTGGGACTTTCCAGAGAGGACATATACTCATCCCTCCTTCTGGTTCTCGATTTCCTCAGGGTCAACGGTCTGATGGACCTTGTCTGACTTCATCAGGCATTTGGAGGATAAGCCACAACAACAACAGTAGCATTTATTTATGTCGCACAACAGTTGCATGATGGGCTACAGGCAAAAGTCTGAGAAACATCCCTGAGAATGTTCTGAAGACATGCCATGCCAATTTTGATCCTCTGCAGAAGGGATATATTCCCCACTTAGGTAGTTCTTCTACGACGGCCGTTGCTTGGAAAAACTATAAAACAATTTTTTTCTAGAGCTCATCAAGATTGTTCTTTCTAAATTGAAAACATTTGCATAGCTGTTTTATTTTTGCCTTTGAAAACATAGGTTTATAGCGTTTCTTAGCTCACGTCACCGTACATTGATTAAAAGTAAAGCAGTCCTGCAACAGTTGCTGCATGGATGGATGGATGCAAACTGTCAATGTTCTTTGTAAGATGGGGGTCACAGAAGTTAAGGCTTTAAAATTTCATAACAAACAGCAAAATGGTGCAATGCGATCAACAATATGTACCGAACCTCTTCACTTTCTTGACAAACCGGTACCAATCGAACAGAAGATGGACAGGCTTTATGCTACTGTACCGAATCAAGCTGTACTGAAGAGAAAGTGTTTATAAAAAGAAATTATTTATTAGAAACATCAACAAAACATAAAGTAGGCATATTTCATTTCTGATTCCTGCAACAGATTAATACATTAAAACTTCAAAAAGGATTTTATCAAATCCATTTCCCGTAATGGGTTAGTACACAATGTAGCGTATCTAACACTACAATTATTCAATTCCAAATCACTAGTATAAAAAAAACATGTTAACTCAAATTTATCTTGGGGTACTTCTTGATAGAAGACGGCTAACATTGCTGAAAACACAATCCACACATTGGTGACCTCTGGACATGATCTGAACTGAACACACCTATCTCGACAGACACGCTTACTTCGATAGATGGTCCACATTGTACAGTGAATTTGCTATTTGAGACTACGGCAATGTCCTCATCACACTGTTGCTACTCAGTCTTTAGATCACACGCAAGGTTGGCTTGTATATACTTGACTGCTAATGGCAACACAAGAGCAACCACAACCGTGAACTTAATGCAGCTTTAACGATCAACACTCTAAGTCTGGTGATCTTAATACAGCTGTCCCGACTTTTCAGTAAAACAGCAATGAATCATCTAGTGGTTCATCAAAATCTATCACAGATAAAATTCGAGTGGGAGTACTGTAGTGTGTAAACCACCACAATTATTCGATTTCAGTTTATTAATATATAAGACATGTTAACTTGATTCTATGTTGGGGTACCTTTTCATAGATGAGGATTGACATTGTCAATAACATTCATCCCAACAACTTAAAATAAAAATCTAAAAAAAAAAAAATCAAATAACTTTCAGATATTCCAAAATTGTCTTCTTTTGATTTTGTTTTCCTTTAACTCATTGAACTGTTTTTCTATTTATTTGAGATTCTAAGACTAGAACTTAATACTGCCAACAGAGATTGAACCCTAGTGCCCAACAATGTCAGCTCATTTTCCCAACCACTGAATGATTGTGGCTCATATATTAACTAATATTAAATCTAAACTAAACTCAGTGGCGCGACAGCCCATAGAGGGCCAAGGCCTAATGTGCCCATCTCAGTTTTCTTGACCTTGGGCTCTGGTGTGCAGGAGCAGATGTTCCGGTCAGGTGGTCAGCCGAATGCGGAACCCGCAGTGTTTAGTTCCCAAGCAGGCTTGGTACTCATTTATCGACCCACTGAAGGGATGAAAGGCGGAGTCAACTTTGCCCGGCCCCAGGATCGAACCAGGGACCTGTGGTACGACAGAGCGAAGCGCTACCGCTCAGCCACCGGGCGTCAATAATAAATCTAGTTTGGAATAATACACAGAACACAGCAAAATGTACAATTCTATCCTTTCCTGTTTTATTTCAAATTGATTTTCAAATCTCTGGCCAATTATGGAACAACCAGCGGATGCATTAAAAAAAAAAAAAAAAGTACATGAATTGATTATTAGTAGAGCCACTTACATTAATCCATGCTATAGAACGTTCTTCATAAATAACTTGTATAACAGGACTATGTTCAACGTGGTTATTAAAGGTACTAGATGGATGATTCGAAATGAAAGACGAAATAGGTAGTAAAACCAACTGCTCATGGCACTGCTGTCGATCAAGAACAATAGCCCACATGCTGCAAGTATAAATGCTTTCATAAATAGACACTCTTAATAGACAAACATTATCTGTAAACATATAATTTTAACATATGTTTTTAATATTGTTTAAAACTAAAATTTGAACAATTTCTGAAACAATCTAATTGTACTAATTGTTAAAAAAAATCTACTTATGAATAGTCATTATTTGGTTCCTTTGTCTGGTCTTGATTACTTACTTTATTTGTTATTTCAAATTTTGTATTTTTTTCTTTCAAAAGCAATACTATAATTGTGAATGGCTATCACTCACTTTACATAATCATTATCAAAACAAAATTAGAATATTATTCGATAAAAAATGTAGCTCTGAATAAAAAGAGAATATTTAAAGAATATTCTACACGTAAAAATTGCTAAATGAACAAAAAATATTCAAAAAAAAACTTCATTGGTTTAGTTAAGTTACATAAAATGAAACAAGTAACAAAAATGGTCAAAATAAAACAAGAACAAGAAGTAATTGTACAAATATTGTAAAAAAATTGAAAGTGTTTAAATATCTAATTTCAGTGGTAATATTTTTCGGATGTATTTTTTTATTAGGATTCATTAACTAACAAATATAATAAATTCAATACAAGTTTTGAAAAATAATACTTAATACATTTTGTATTTTTTAAGTTTTTGTATAGTTTTGTTTATAACACTATACGTTTAGAAATTAAAAAAAATAGTGTAAATGCTTTAAATTACTTACTATCTACCATTCGGCGTCCATCCTGCTCTGACAAGATATTCCATATCAGGACAGATAGCCCTCAGATTTTCTTGAGGCAACAAGTCTAATAAAATTTCTATCTAAAAATATAAAATTACATGGAAATGATGTAAAAGAAATTACAATTTAAATGTTGATAAAATAAATAAATTAGACATTTTAGAATTGGAAAGTTAGAACTTTTAAGCAGGATAAATAAACTTCCTCAGTTCTAAATCAAAATAAATTTATTTAATTAGTTGTAAAAGTAATATTAACTTTATAGTGAAGTGTTTAAAGAATAAAGCTAACAATTTCGACAAGTTTTAAACATTTTATTTTATGTCTAATACCAAAAACATCAAAATTTCCATCAATATCTGATAGCATTGAAAATGATAATAATTAGATACGACTATTACAAGTCCAAGACCGGCTAAAATGAATAAACATATTAAAAACAAAATTATGTGATTTCATTCAAGTTAGATAAGACAGACAAATGGAGTAAAATATTGTAATATCAAGTTAGTATAGTTATATCAAGTTAGATAATGTAGTCAAATATCTTAATTATCCTTTTTCTTAATGGCAGACTTTTTTGAAACCTTTTGATACTGTGATGAAATTTCAATTCACTTAACTATTATTGTCGCCAATGTTTTTAATTAATTGCTAATTAATTTAATTGTTTAATTAATTTTGGTAATATTTTTCTCTAGTAATACGGTAATAGTAGATCTCTAATATACAAATAAATATAAGTACTATAGGTTTTTTACAATCGATCCCTAAAACGTAATTGTGCCTATTTACTGTAACTAACATAAACTTAAATACTTTAAATATACGTTACTTCCCAACATAACTCTTACATAAAATAAATAATTAGGTACACAAAATAAGCACAGTGTAAAAAAAAAAAGTTTTAAAATGATCTACATAAAACTAAATAATGATTGAGTGATCCATAAGAAACCAAATAACAGGGTGCATAGCCAAATTTTTCAACAAAAAATAAGCACCTTTTAAGTACTTTTTTAAGCACACAAAAATATTTTTAAGCAGTATGTACGTTAACAAAATACTAAATAATTTGCAAAGACTTTACATGATCATGATAAAATAACTAGTTTTTGACAAAGAACACTTTTCTTGATTATATTAGCCATTATAAAATGATCAAGAGATTTTTCAGTTTGATATTAGAGGGTGAAAAATGAAGCCTGAAATTGAGAGCATCTTGCAAAATGCAGCAGAGTTGCTCATGAGAGTGCAAGAATCTCACCGAACTCAGCTAAGTAGACACACATGCACACTTGCAAGTATTTCATCAAACATGTAAAATGATTGGCAATTTCATATGCTATGGACCGACGGTACGCCAAACTGGATTGTTGTTGAATGAATTGTGAAAATGTTGGATAGAACAATGAGAAAATCACGCTTTTGCATAATATGTGGCAAAAATCGACATGGTCAAGAAAAAAATCTCATTTTCGAAAAGGGAAAATTAAGTACTTTTTAAAAACACCCAATGAAAAAGCAACTGTTTGGGCTTATAAAAAACGAAAATAAAAAATAAGCACCTTTAGGTACTTTTTCAAAACGCTACGCACCATGAATAAGCACAGATAATACAAGCTAGAATTATCTGTAGCTATTAAAAAATATTATCTACAGGCTATTAAAAAAATTTGATAATAGTTCTTAGAAGTATGATACTTTAAAAAATATTATGCATATCATTTATTAGAAATTAAAAAAAATAAAATCAGTATAATTTTAATAAAACTTTTGTACACGAAAAAACTAAATTTGTATTTGCATAAATTATCCTCCATTAGTCATTAGGAGTACATTAGGTAGATAAATTATAACCCATTTCTAAAACTATAAATCAACACTGACCTTGAACTTAAAAACTTGATAACTTATACAAATTCTATACTAGGAAAATAATAACTTTAACTATACAGCCATAAAAATATATTACGGCAGACAAAAGTCAAAAATTTCAATAAATATATTACAATAGCCATACAATTATCAATAAGAATTTCTAAAACCAAACATACTTAGTACAAAGGATTAAAAAAAAAACTTAATCAATAATTATTGCAACTAAATATTGATAAATAATTTAATTTACAAATAAATCAGAGTTTAAACTAGAGACGTAACGATTAATGATTAGGCTAAATAGTTCAATACCAACTATTCAATGACGAAAAAGCAATATTTTTTTTTTAAAAAAAAAGAAAAATCATTAATAAATATTATTTTTTATATTTACATAAGTTTAGTCACTATTGAAAAATAATCAAAACTTAGTTGTATTATTGTTGTATATTGAATTATTGTTAAAGCAATAAAAACTTCAATAGAAATGTTTAAGATAATAAAGATGATTAGAAAAATTTAAGATAAAAAATGACTAACAGTTATTAAAAAAAAAAGACTAAAGTGTAGAGTTGAAGAAAATGAAATAGGAGAAAAACATCCTCTTAATTCTTAAAACAAAACTTCAATGCTAAAAATAATATTTCCCGGAAAAAGAAAGAGATAATGTCTATCAGAAATTATTTTAAAAATGCAGTGCTGTCATAAAACATCTATAAAAAAAAAAAAAAAAAAAAAAAAAAAAAAAAAAAAAAAAAAAAAAAAAAAAAAAAAAAGATTATATACGAAAGCAAAGCAGAAAAAATAAAAATCCATCTGAATTTTTGAAAGAAAATTGTAAAACTCAACACTTCAGTTTTTCAATTACCATATTTTCAAGAGAAAATAAAGAATTAAGTCTGATAGAAATCCTCTTAATTGCCGCGTCATAATCAAAATGTCTATAAAAACAAAAATGTTTTAAAAAAGAAAAAACTATATAGAAACCAATGGAATAAATCGTTCTTAATTTTTAACCTTAAAAATCTCAATTTAACTTTTTCACATTGAAATATTTTTAGAGAAAAGTGACCATAAAAGAATAATATTCATTAGAAAGACTCTTTAAAAAATGCTGTCATATTAAAAATGTTACTAGAAAGAAAAGTTAACAAAAAAAAATCAAAAGAACCAAAAAAAGATTGTTTTTCGTTCTGAAGTATAACCTTAAATGTTGAGAATCACAGTTTTTTATATCTCTAGTTACAATCTTACCCTAAAAGAAAAAGTGACAATAAAATAATCTAGTCGATTAGAAAAGCTCCATTGATGTTTTGATCTCATAATTTAGTCATTTATTCATTATTATAATATATTCCTGATTATTATAATTCATAATTTAGATCTCAATTTTTAAAACATAAAGTGTTGAAAAAAATATTAAATTGACTTGCCCAAATTTATATTAAAGCAAGTCAATTTCATGGTTTTTTTTTAAAAAAAAAAAGAAACAAATCAGCATTACAAACTCATACTCTGTGTAAAGTAATCTAGTTGCAATTCTTCAAATTTCGCTTTTCCATGTGTCTATCAGAACACAAGTTAACAATCTTTAAAACTTGACAAAAATGTGTAAAAACTATTTCTAATAATGTACTGCAAAAAATACTATTTTAAAATACGATTCAAATACAAAAAATACTGCAAAAAATACGATTAAAATACGATATGAAAATTACTCTTTATTAAATCTGTTAAAATTTCTCCCTTCCTTCCTATTTGCCGAATATTGGGCAAAAGGACCAAATAGGCCACACACCGAAAAGTGGCCAAATATTCATTACATCACTAGTTTAAACATACAACATTCAAAATATAAATTTTTGGTTTGTAAAAAATATACACATTAAATATATACCTCATTCGTTGTTGATAAGGTAAATTGCACAATTCTAATAGTTGACTTAGCATTGCTTGTCCCTAAAATTAGAAAAAGTAATAATACCTAAACAAAAATAGCAAATTTACAACAAAATAATATAAAGTCTTAAATATAAATGTCAAATCTAGACTTGGTTTAGAGTTCAATATGCTAAGTTTCATGCAGTACTAACTAGTAACTCTCTTTGCTACACTTAAGAAAAAAGTTCACACAAATATGTAACAACCCAAACTACATATTTTTAAAACTATCATAATAAAAACAGTTTTTTAATATTTACAGAACATGCAAATTGCAATTTTAATTTCAAAACTATCAATATTTTTGTAAAATATTAGTATAATTATATTAAAAAGGAAACAAAAACAGTAAAACTATTCAAAAGTTATCAATTTAACTTCTTTTTTTTTTCAAAAAAAGGTAGGATTTACTTTTTACTTTTATTTTTCAACAATTTTTAATTAAAACTTAATGATTAAGAATTAATTAGGATTATGCATAAATGGAATAAAGTTAAATGGGGACTCAATACCTGCTCTGGGAAATCTAAACACTTCAAGATCTTTCTCATCTCCATAACTAGGTAAATATACAAGTTCAACATCACATTCATCCACTTCTTCATACAATATACGATAAATTTCGTTGCCTGAAAAGTTTTTATGCATTAGAAAAAATAATGAAAAAATTTTAGGTCATAATTTCAAAACATCATAAAGTAAAAATATTTGAAAGCATTTAAAGATAAAATGGCTTAATAATTGGGACACCTCAATGAATAAATATTGCCAGACTTTTTCATTACTAAACCAGAGACATAATTATTTGATAATAAAAAAAACTATCTTAAAAATTTTTAATACATAAAAAATATACATATTGCCAGATTTTATAATTACTAAACCAGAGATTTAGTTATTTAAAAAGGGAAAAAAATTGTGTCAAATTAAAAATGCTTGAAAATAAACTTTTTCGAATAATTTTTAACAATTAAAATGACTAAACATTAGCAATTTTATAAATGATTTGAATTTCTAAAGATAAACCAAAGCATAACTAAGACCAGATAAACTAAGGCATTCCAGTATCAGCCCCATGTAGGCCAGCCAGTCATAAAGTCAAGGCTCTGCATTTTAAAAACTAAAAGCGATTGAGGAAATGTTAACATGAAAGAGACACTGCCTTTACTTTCTAGACAAGATGGCAACCAAGGATCTGAAGCTGAGTGAGCTTTAAACTGACCTAATCTTCCCAATTACAGTCTCAACCAGACTGCAGTGCAATAGGAAAATCAAAGTTAGCTACAAAAATTTAATATTGAGATCTTTATATTTGGCATTTTTGCAAGATAAACTATATACAGTAGAGCGCCGATTATCCGAACCCTTATTATCCAAACGTCCAATTATCCAAACTACGTCTGAATTCGTTTTTTTTTTTTTTTTTTTTAAAAGTTTAGAATACTTTTCAACTTATCAACGATTTTTCTAAATTTCTAAACCAGTAGATCTTTCGGCTGAAAAGATGCCAGGTTATGCAGCAGAAGAAATAAAAAAATAGAATACCCATGTCGAAACACTGAAAACGTCCCAGGATTTCAAGTTTTAAATGATGATGAAACTGTTGCTGCAATTCATTAGATATTGCAATAAATTGGTTAGAACGTCAAAATGATGTTGATCCAGTTCAGTTGATTTATTTAAAAAGAATAAGGGATATGGCTGCTCAAAAAAAGAGCATCTTCTTTGAAACAAAAGTCTTGGCTGGATTTCTTTTGCAATGGAAAATAAAGAAAAATGTGTTAAAATCAGTAATTGACAAAAAAAAAGTTAGTTGAAATATGATTAAAAAAAAGTTCAAAATGAAAAAAATGTTTAAAAAATTAATTAAAAATATTTAAAAATTAAAAAAAAAATTTTTTAAACAAAGCTATTTTAGATAGTACTGGTCCTAAACCTGGAAAAAGTGTGAAGGGAAGTTAGGGCATAAATAATAATCATTAAACTCGATTTAAAGCAACTTTCCAACTATCTGAAATTTTCATAAACCGAACCACGTTTGGTCCCGAGCAGTTCGGATAATCGAGTATAGTATTCGAATACAGTAGAGCAGTTCGGATAATCGGCGCTCTACTGTATTGCAATAAAATTATTTTAGGGTTCATAGCAAAGGATAGAAAAAAAGGTTGTGAAGCTGCTTATATATTGCAATAAAATTATTTAAAAAAAAAAAAAAAATTTCTTTTAATCAGTTATCTGAAATTTTATTTTAGAGTTCATAGTAAAGGATAGAAAAAAAAGTTGTGAAGCTGCTTTAATCAAAATCTTTTGCCCTCTTTTCAACTACATCGCAGTAATGAGTTATTTACAAATAATGATTTCTTAATATAACAAAAATTGCTTCTCTTATTTTACCAGAAGAATCTGGAACAGGCTGCCACCAAAATCCAGTATATCTATTAAATTCTTCTTGTGTAATATAGGATGGAATACCAGCACTCACAGGATCTTCTGTAACATCAACAGTTCCTGAAAATTGCAACAATTTTCGACACACAATATTATAATAATAAAGGAAGGAAATAAGCTACTTAAATATAAACAACTTAAGATTGGTAAAAGCTTTGATACAAAAGTCTGAAAAATAACCAATGCAAAATGATGTTTTTTGATTTGCATTAAATTGATATACATAAATTGTTATGAAAAATCATCTTTGAAAACATTTATAAATAATAAATACAAAAAAAAATTTACATACAAATCCTGGAAGGTACGATCAATTTATAATATGCAAGCTGTAAATATGTTATTGATAAAGCAGATTTACAAAAATTACAAATAAACCAATTTTTGAGTAAAATTTGGATTACCAATACTATTCAGTTTAAGCTTAACGAATTTGCAACATTTCCACCTTTAGCAAGCTATCCTAGCTGGTTAAAGCTTGAAATTAACTTACCTATTTTCAATATACCATTATGCAATTCAAAAATAACCCTTGTCTGGTATTGTCTTACCTGACATTAGTAGTTACTTCACTGTTTCTTAATGTTAACGACGTATTCTTAATGCTAACGGGTATTTACCCACATTAATGAGTGTTGTAAATAATGGCTTTCAAGCTTTATCTAACTAGGACAGCTTGGGTCACGTTTAAGTATGTGAACCGGTGGAAGTGTTAAGAGATTCTTAAGGCTCTAAACAATTAAAATAAGAAGTGCCCAAATTNTGATCCAGCTTCTTGTTAACTTGTGATGAAAGGTGTTGATGGAAATAAACACCAGGTAGTCCTTCAGTTGGGTCAATGAATTGTTTATTAAGGCAATCCTCGACATTTCCAGCAAGTACGTTGTTAACTACGGCCTGGCTAAGTGGGCTGTTCTTCTTTAGTCTTTGGTTGCTGCTCCACCTTTGTAGATAATCTGCTGTTCTGTTTTGGTAAAAAAACTTAAAACTTAAACTTAAACTTAAAAACTTAATTGGTTTAGTTAAGTTACATAAAATGAAGCAAGTAACAAAAATGGTCAAAATAAAACAAAAACAAGAAGTAATTGTACAAATATTGTAAAAAAAATTGAAAATGTTTAAATATCTAATTTTAGTGGTAATATTCTCTGGATATAGTTTTTTATTAGGATTCATTAACTAACTAATATAAATTCAATACAAGTTTCGAAAAATAATACTTAATACATTTTGTATTTTTTAAGGTTTTTGCATAGTTTTGTTTATAACACTATCCATTTAGAATTAAAAAATTGTGTAAACGTTATAAATTACTTACTATCTACCATTAGGTGTCCATCCTGCTCTGACGAGATATTCCATATCAGGACAGATTGCCCTCAAATTTTCTTGAGGCAACAAGTCTAATAAAATTTCTATCTAAAAATATAAATTTACATGGTAATGATGTAAAAAAAATTACAAATTAAATGTTGATAAAACAAATAAATAAAAAATTTTAGAATAGGAAAGATAAAACTTTTAAACAGGATAAATAAACTTCCTCAGTCCTAAATCAAAATAAGTTTATTTAATTAGTTGTAAAAGTAATATTAACTTTATAGTGAAGCGTGTAAAGAATAAAACTAACAATTTTGACAAGTTTTAAAAATTTTAATTGATGTTTAATATCAAAAAACAACAAAATTTCCATCAATATCTGATAGCATTGAAAATGATAATAATTAGAGAAAAGAATGATATTCATCAGAAAGGCACTTTAAAAAATGCTGTCATAGTAAAAATGTTGATAGAAAGAAAAGTTAACAAAAAAAATCAAAAGAGGAACCGAAAAAAGATTGTTCTTTGTTCTGAAATATAACTTTAACATTGAGAATCACAGTTTGTTATATCACAAGTTACAATCTTACCATAAAAGAAAAAAGGACAATAAAATAATTAAGTCGATTAGAAAAGCTCCATTGATGTTTTGATCTCATAATTTAGTCATTTATTCATTATTATAATTTATTCATGATTATCATAATTCATAATTTCGATCCTAATTTTTAAAACATAAATTGTTGAAAAAACTATGAAATTGACTTGCCAAATTTATATTCAAGCAAGTCAATTTCATCATTTCTTTAAAAAAAAAAAGAAACAAATCAGCATTACAAACTCATGGTTCAGTATAAAGTAATCTAGTTTCAATTCTTCAAATTTTGCTTTTCCATGTGTCTATCAGAACATAAGTTAACAATTTTTAGAACTTAACAAAAATGTGTCAAAACTATTTCTAATAATGCATTGCAAAAAATACGATTTTTGATTACTCTTTATTAAATCTGTTAAAATTTCTATCCCTCCCCCCAATTTGCCGAATATTCCGCAAAAGGAACGAATAGACTACACACCGAAAAGTGGCCGAATATTCAATACATCCCTAGTTTAAACATACAACATTCTAAATATAAATTTTTGGTTTGTAAAAAATATACACATTAAATATGTACCTCATTCGTTGTTGATAAGGTAAATTGCACAATTCTAATAGTTGACTTAGCATTGCTTGTCCCTAAAATGAGAAAAAGTAATAATACCTAAACAAAAATAACAAATTTACTACAAAATAATATAAAGTCTTAAATATAAATATCAAATCCAGACTTAGCTTAGAATTCAATATGTTAAGATTCATGCAGTACTAACTAGTAACTCTTTCTGCTACACTTAATAAAAAAAGGTCACACAGATATGGAACAACCCAAACTACACATTTTTTTAAACTATTGTGATAAAAACAGCTCTTTAATACTTGTAGAACATGCAAATTCCAATTTTAGTTTAAAAACTATTAATATTTTTGTAAAATTTTAGTATAAATCATATTTAAAAGGAAACAAAAACAGTGAAACTATCGAGCTCTCATTTTGGGGGGAAATGTTTATTACAACACAAAAATTTTGGTAAAAAGTTATGTACTATTATGGTATCAAAATCATACTAAAAATTAATAATGGACAACTATTGTTGGAAGTAGCATATTTATGAAATATCCATTTTGAAGCTTTCTGTTAAAGTATATTAGTAAATCAAACACTTCCACCTCATTAAATATACAAAAAGCTAACAAAATAAAATTAACCTTAATAAAATGAAGAAGATACATATTTCATGACTTAGAAACAAAAAATAATAATAATAGTCAAGCTTTGAGCTGGTAAAAGTTTGGAATTTTTCTTCTTCTTTTTCAAAAAAAAAAAAAAAGAGAGGATAAAACATTTGCTTATCAAAAATTTCCTAACTAATACATAATGAATAAGAATTACGCATAAATGGAATAAAGTTAAATGGGGACTCAATACCTGCTCTTGGAAATCTAAACACTTCAAGATCTTTCTCATCTCCATAACTAGGTAAATATACAAGTTCAACATCACATTCATCCACTTCTTCATACAATATACGATAAATTTCATTGCCTGAAATTTTTTATGCATTAGAAAAAATTATTTTAAAAAATTTAAATCATAATTTCAAAACATCATAAAGTTAAAAAAAATTGAAAGCATTGAAAGTTAAAATGGTTTAATAATTGGGACATCTCAATGAATAAATATTGCCAGACTCTTTAATTACTAAGCCAGAGACATAATTATTTGATGATAAAAAAAACTGTCTTAAAAGTCCTTAAAATATAAATTTTTAATACATAAAAAGTATACATATTGGCAGAGTATATAATTACTAATCCAGACATAATAATTAAAAAATAAAAAAAAAATATCTTAAAATTGCTCTAAAATAAAAAATTTTGAACACATAAAAAATATACATAATGCCAGATTTTATAACCAGAAATATAGTTATTTAAAAAGGAAAAAAAAATTGTGTCAAATTTAAAATGCTTGAAAATAAAATTTTTCGACAATTAAAATGACTAAACATTAACAATTTCAGAAATTATTTGAATTTCTAAAGTTAAACCAAAGCATAACTAAGACTAGATAAACTGAGGCATGTAGCCATAAACTAAGGCCAGTCATGAAAGTCAAGGCTCTGCATTTTAATAACTAAAAGCATGATTGAGGAAAATGTTAACATGAAACAGACACTGCCTTTACTTTTACTTTCTAGACAAGCTTGCAACCATCAATCTGAAGCTGGGTGCTTTAAGCTGACCTAATCTTCACAATTAACAGTCTCAACCAGACTGCAGTGCAATAGAAAAATCAAAGTAAGCTACAAAAATTTAATATTGAGATCTTTATATTTGGTATTTTTGCAAGATAAGTTATATATATTGCAAAAAATAATTTGAAAAAAAAAATTAAATTAGTTATCTGGAATTTTGTTTTAGGGTTCATAGCAAAGGATAGGAAAAAAAATTGTGAAGCTGCTTATATATTGCAATAAAATTATTTTTAAAAAAAAAATCAATAAATTTTTTTTTCAATCAGTTATTTCAAATTTTTAGGGTTTGGTTCATAGCAAAGGATAGAAAAAAAAGTTATGAAGCTGCTTTTGACAAAATCTTTTGTTCTCTTTTCAACTACATGGCAGTAATGAGTTATTTACAAATAATGATTCAAATAAAGAAAAGAAAAATTTAATTTTCATTTTTTTTTAAATTAATAATAAAAAAAACATTTTGTTAAAATAAAAGGAAAAGAAACATAATTTAACAATAGCAAAAAGCATATTTAAAAACTAATAGGAAAGTATGCAAATGAAAATTGCTTTTCTTAATATAACAAAAATAGCTTCTCTTATTTTACCAGAAGAATCTGGAACAGGCTGCCACCAAAATCCAGTATATCTATTAAATTCTTCTTGTGTAATATAGGATGGAATACCAGCACTCACAGGATCTTCTGTAACATCTACAGTTCCTGAAAATTGCAAAAATTTTCTACACACAATATTATAATAATAAAGGAAGGAAATAAGCTACTCAAATATAAACAACTTAAGATTGGTAAAAGCTTTTATACAAAAGTCTGAAAAATAACCAATGCAAAATGATGTTTTTTGATTTGCATTAAATTGATATACATAAATTGTTATGAAAAATCATCTTTGAAAACATTTATAAATAATAAATACAAAAAAAAATTTACATACAAATCCTGGAAGGTACGATCAATTTATAATATGCAAGCTGTAAATATGTTATTGATAAAGCAGATTTACAAAAATTACAAATAAACCAATTTTTGAGTAAAATTTGGATTACCAATACTATTCAGTTTAAGCTTAACGAATTTGCAACATTTCCACCTTTAGCAAGCTATCCTAGCTGGTTAAAGCTTGAAATTAACTTACCTATTTTCAATATACCATTATGCAATTCAAAAATAACCCTTGTCTGGTATTGTCTTACCTGACATTAGTAGTTACTTCACTGTTTCTTAATGTTAACGACGTATTCTTAATGCTAACGGGTATTTACCCACATTAATGAGTGTTGTAAATAATGGCTTTCAAGCTTTATCTAACTAGGACAGCTTGGGTCACGTTTAAGTATGTGAACCGGTGGAAGTGTTAAGAGATTCTTAAGGCTCTAAACAATTAAAATAAGAAGTGCCCAAATTAATAGCTGTTAATCCCAGATTTGGCTTCATTATTACTTTATATGTAACATACATACATTATAAATATGTGCATGTGAGTATTTATATATAGTACATGCAGTACAAAATTCAGTTTCCTACATCTATTTTCCGGAAGCGTCAATTTTTCCACACTTTCAAATAAATCTAAATATTAACAGTTTGAAAGAAGCACCAGCAGACATGCTCTACTCCCATATAAATTATTAATGCTTCCATTGAAAAATCTATTCAAAAATAAAATGTATTCTTGTTTAATATTATTAATCTTTTAATAAATATGATTGATTTACTTCTTCAATTTGAAACTTGTTTCTTAATGTTTTTTTATCTGAATACCTGCACTTCTAACTCTTTATGTAAATTAAAAAGATATTTAAAAAAAGAGTAAAATGTATCCATATTTATAAAAAAGAAATTTCAATTTATTTTCTGCTACCTTTTTTTTAATTTTTTTTAGGATTTATTAATAGTATTTATTTTATGATACTAAACATTCTTAAGTTGATTAATATTTAACTAATAACAAAACATTATTGAACAAAAACTGAGACTTATCATTTATGTTTATTTAATAGCGTATGTTTTGATCTTTATTTACCTTAAAGACCTATTATTCGTAAATGTCTATTTTCCTGACAAATAAGGAAGAGAGACTGTATCCTATATATATTTATATATACAAGATATTAAAACAAATTAGACGGCAAGTAAATTTTGAAAATGACATTGAAAATAGGAATAGGCATAAGGAAGGAAATAAAAAATATATATAATATAAAAGGAGGAATGCTACATTAAATAATGATTCATTTAACAAAGTTTGCTCTATACTTGAACCATTTCAAGTTTACCTGCCAAGTCTGCAACAGTTTGTACTAGTATCCATTTACACTCCTACACAAGAAAACAGTTTTTCTCGATCTCGGTAATTCAGTTACTTAATAATTGGTAGCATACTTTTTTCCCATTAGAACTGTTAAGTTTGTTAATGGTACATTCTGATATTTATTATAAGCAATGTTTCATTTTCTATGAAAAAAATTAACATCATTTATATTATTTACTTTAAAAAAAATTACGAGAATTTTTTTTTTCCCCTATGATTATGAAATAACAGCTGCATTTATTTTCTTTTTTAATTCAGTCTTATATTTACAAGTTCTTTTAAGATGATGTTTTTTTAAATACTTAAGAGAATCTATTGTTGATTAATCAGTAAATATGTTTTAGACAAGTACCAAGTCTCAGTACCTATTTAAGATATTTGAAATTCAGCTAATAAGTAAGCAGTAGTTTGTAGCAATAATCAGTATTTTTCAGTGTTGGCTTTTCATTTACATAATGGCGAAATAATGTATAGTAAACTTTTTGCTTATTTAAAGTGTGAAGTTGATTAATGATACACATTGATTTAAAATATGTATAACATGAAAAATGTATAACATATGCAGGGGTCTGTCCAGACATTTTGTGAAAGGTCCGTTTTTGTAAAATTGGGAAAAAATTACTCACAATTTGTGAATATAAAATAAACGTTAAGTTAAATTCTTTCAACCAGGGTCCTGCTTTTGTGAATTTGTACAAATAGGGTCCTGTTATTGCAAAAAACTTTTCCAATGAATTTTTAAATTGTAAAGAGATACAAAATTATGCTTAACACTGTAAAATTATAATTTAAAAAAAAAAAAATTAAAAAATAAACAGCAATTGCTGCTACTAAATTAGAGATGCAACATACAAATATTTGGTTTTCAGCCTATACTGCTGAACGCAGAATATTCATTTCGGACGACTAAAGGAAGAAGCGCCTGCTGAAGACAAAACTTAGTTCGTTTATATCTGTCTTTCTTTACCCCCATTCTCCTGGGAAGGGTTTATTCGATTAACAAAACAATAATGAAGATAAACAAATTTGTGAAGGATCCGATTAAAAGATAAATTATTTTGTGAAGGGTCCGTTTTTATGAAAAGATATTTTGTGAAAGGTCCGTTAACAGACTCAAATTTCTTCTAAACAGACCCCTGATATGTAACAAAAAAACTACACAATAGAATTTTCTTTATCATCTTTAGCTGTGGTTGCTGTATTGATTAAACCTTATAGATACTAGTTCTGTTAAAATTAATGTTTTGAAAATTATAAAAATCTATACTCAATTAATTTATCATAAATTTAACAAATAAAAACCAAATCATTTGAATATGTACAAAAACATTCATTTCAATTGCAAGGATAGATTGATTTTATATGTTGCAATAATTTTAATTTGTAAAAAAAAATATGTATATCACCTCTTCTTGTATATGTAAGTCGAATATCACTAGATGTCAAGATATTGTGAACCCATATATCAAAGTTGCTAATATAGGCAATAAGATTTGGATTCCATGGGCACATTTGAGGATTAAGTCTTGCATTTATACCAGGTGTGTTTTTTAACTCACGGGGATAAAGAGGTGGATGCTAAAATTAAAATTGTTTCATTATTATATATAAAAATGAAATAACAAGAAATCATCATAAAATATATGTATATATACAGTATAACGTTAAAAATCCAAACTCCTCTGGAGTTTACAACATCGGGACTGAACATTTTCTTGATTTAAATATTTTATTTAATTAGTCAAGATGTCAAATAAATAAAAAACTAGTTTCATGCTTTTTGGGAGGCAGTTATTCTACGCAATTCCGCATAGATATTAAAATCTTGATATTTGAATAAAATACTGCAACATGCAAATTCCAGGTCATGCTATTGTGTAATCTCTTTTTGATGGGCTTGATTTGCAACCATTCCTTTGTGAATTCATACAGCATTGACATTCTCTTTTCTGACAATTAATAATAATAACAAATTTCCACGATTTTGAGAATTCCCGGTATTTGGACAAAATTCACTTCAGTGCTGCAAAACATCGCTGTATACTCATATGATATAACTTTGCAGATGATCCGAATATAGCCTTTCTGTAACGCAATTTAAAAGTTTGCAGCTCTTGTTTTGAAGGCTGGGTTTTTATTAAATCTTTAGTAAGAACATCATGGTTGCTCTTAGGGTTATAAAAAAAATATTTTCAAATAACAATAGAGTCCCGATTATCCGAGTTAATGTGGACCACGAGTAACTCAGATAACTGAAAAACTCGGTTAAAGCGAAGATTATTAAAATGTAATAAAAATGTAAGATTATAAAAATATAAATGTAATATATTTAACAAATACAAAATTTATACAAGTACACCACATACAATTCATATTATAAGCAAAAAGCTAGCCTAATTACACTTAAAAAGCATACTTTACGAGAATTGCAGAGTTTTTACTTAAAAAAGTCTTTAATCGTTTTTTGTTTCACATTACTTAGGCGCTTTTCTGCAGCAATGTTTCACCATTTTTCGGGAATAACAGGGAGGCTGGTGTTGCCTCTTCTTGTTGTTCTATATATTCAATAGCACTTTCGACAGCTTTTAGTCCTTTTAGCTTTAGTATGAGAGACTTTTATATGTTGACTTTCATCGTCACTGTCTTCATCATCTTCGCTTGATTCATTTTCATTATTGACGATATTAAAGATCATTTCATCGGATCAAGCTGCTTGATTTAAATTTCCTGAGTTTTTTTTAACATAAAATTCAGACTTTTTTCGTCTGTAGTTTTAAAAATAAAAAATAAACCAGAACAAAAAAATCCTCGAAATATTTAATAGCTCGATTAAAGAGGAACCTCGGTTAATTGGGACTCTACTGAAATTCTAAAAGAAAGCATTTTAAAATGAAAAGTTAAGTTGTTAAAAATTTGAATGCCTTGCTAAAGATCGAAAAAGTGCACTTCCAGATCTTAATTGGGTAATGATTCATATGCAATCTCCTTTTCCCTAAATGGGTTATGATATAATATAATATATGATGGGCTTCTTAAATGATTTTTTTTTTACCTATGTCCGTTTTTTCAAATGTATATTTCAAGCTGACTATTTTTTTAAGCTTGATTACTTAAGCTATGATCATTTATTGAACTATGCCCATTTCCTTAAGTACACAAATTAAGTCATGTATACTTTTTTTCAAAAATACTTTTTACTTTTTTTGAAAAGAGTAAAAGATTAAATTTTTAAAAACTTCACACAAAATGTGACGGATAAAAACGAAAGCAATGATTTTACAAAACCTTACAAGAAAGGGATGAAAAAATTAGACAAAATATTATTGATAAATAGAATGACAATGAAACAATTTCTTAACATATATACATAAAAATATAAAATAGCGGAAAACAAAATATATATATATATATATTATTTAACAAAAACATTATGCAAAAATGAATGAGAAATTATATATACATATAAAATTACATTAAATTAACATACATAAAATTGTTGCAAATGTAAATCGATTAAAATTGCTGTTATAGTAAGAATTGGTGTTAAAATTATTTTTAAAACTTTCACTTCATCTAAGAAATTTTTACTGTTAAAACAGATTTTAATTTTAAAGAATCGAAGATAATCCACATTATAAAAATTAAAGACTAACAACCATGTATTGAAAAGAAAAATATAAATTCACAAAACCCTAAACAAAAACATAGTTGTTTTTGTTTAGGAACAAAATATAGTTGAAAAAAAAAATTTCTTTTTTAACACACAGCAGTTTTAATTCTGTTATGAAATACAACTATCATGACAAAAACTCCTTGTAAAATATTTTACTCAAAAATTTCAGATAAAAATATTTTTTCAATTATAAAGCATATTTTTTTATATTTATAACAAAATCAATTTTAATTATATATATACAGTTTAATGTAGTTGAAATTTAATGTTATGATACTTCTTTCTTTCATTTTCTTATTCCTTAACGTTTATGACCGTTGAAACCAGGTAATGTCACATGTCAAGTCAAAAACCAATTTTTAGCATCAAAAAGCTAACAACTACAGGAAACTAAAGAAATCACTTAATAATATAAACATAGCAAACCAATTCACATAGCCATAAATACAACAAAAAATTACCTGTTTACATTCCTCATCACTGTAAAATGCAGCACCATTTGCTGGAAAACAAATCTACCATATATTGCAACTCAAAGGATGTAATTCCCCAAACATATTATAGGCAACAGGAATATAAACATAACATATTAATTCATATAACTATAAATTCAAGATAAAAATTACCTGTCTATAGTCATCATCACGGCAAAATACAATACCACTTGTTGGGAACACAAATCTACCATATGTTGCAACTTAAGTATGTTAAGAAAACATAAAAATGAACATAGCATACTAATTCCTTTAGCTATAAATACAAGCCAAAAATTATCTGCTTATAGTCTTCACAGTAAAACAAAGTGTCATTTGCTAGGAACACAAATCTATCAGACATTGCAACTCTAAGTATGTTACTCCACAAACATATTATATTGTTGTTTCTAATGCCACCTGCCAATATTGGTAAGCCTGCTTGGTGAAACCAAGCGTATTTAAGGCAGAAGGTGTATTTCTTGTTTTTCAGAGGCACCATCAATTGCCAAGACTATAACTTCAGCCACACACAAGTCACAGCCCGGTTTAGAGGGTGGATTCATTCATGCATCCATTTATTCATCCACAGATCATAATTTTGACCTGAACCAGAGAACCATCAATTTCCAATTCAGTACCCCCAGAGTTATTGATGTTTTAATGGGAAATTGAAGGACTTTGTGTTCGACAGACTTAACGTGCACCTGTCACCATTAACTACAGGGGAGTCTTTGACCAGTGGGGCTCGAACTCACAACCTCTTGAATAGGGGCCCAATAAATCAAGCTATCCCAGCCTATCAGCTTACTTAACTGTACCAAACAAAATAGTAATCAATCAAACAAACAAAAAATAATCTTGCCATCTGCTTAGTTTGATAAGATGAAAAAAGTTTGAAAATAAGATGAAAAAAGTTTGAAAATAAGATGAAAAAAGTTAAAGAAAAAGTCTTAGTTTGAAAATAAGACGAAAAAATCTTATTTTGTAGTTAAATACACCATCTATTTTTCTATATATCAAAGGATATATATTACATTTAATAATTCATTTTTAATCTATTAAAATAAAAAATAATATTTTGATAATAATACAAACATATCAGGGGTCTGTCCAGGCTGAATTTATTACCATTTATCGGTACCTTCACAAATTCAACTTTGGGTAAAACGGTGGTTTCACAAAATACTTTCTCTTAACATTTTCTTTTTGTATCCCTTAAGAAACGATAAATCCATATTTTTGTGTTGATCTCTCAATATAATTTTTAATTTTTCACAGATTATGTCTAAATTTTCACGAAATAGGTACCTCTCAGAAAAACCTAGACAGACCCCTGCATATTATAGGAAACCTGAATCTAAATACTACAAACCAATTTATGTAGCTATAAATAGAACACAAAAGTTACCTATTTATAGTCAGCGTTATAATAAAGCAGTGTATCATCAGCTGAAAACACAAAACTACCATATGTTGCAAGTCAAAGATGTCATTCCCCAAACACATTATAACTCAAATATGGAAATAACAAACCAGTTCATGTATCGATAAATACAGCACAAGAATTACCTGTTTGTAGTCATCATCACAGTAAAACACAGCACCATTAGCCGGGAACACAAATCTACCATATGCTGGTTGGAAGTCAAAGGATGTTATTCCCCATATGACTAATCGCTTCCTTTCCCATTGAAGTTGTTCTTCTCTTGAAAAATGTCCCTGCGAGTGATGCATTTGAAAAGAAGATTCTAAAAGTGGCTGCCATTGAAATGTCTCTACTTTAGTTTTTGCACAGTCCATGGGTACATCACAGTATAGCAGGGTTGTTTCGCGATTAGAGGATATGGTACTTAAAAAATATATCCTATACATACGAGACTCATTTTCTGTTTGTATTTCCTTGAATTCAAAATAATTGGGAATTTTGGCTGATATACTGGATAGTTGTCTCCTCACATTTCGAACCTGCTGCTTCATCTCAGTCCATGTCTTTTTATGAATTGTAGAGGAGGATTGGTTATTGCTAATTTCTTCTACAGCAGGGTAGATAGGTACTTGTAAATCCATTGCTATAGGGAAAAAAATATGCTTTTGTAAATAAAATAAAATGAAGATGATAGCTATTTTCTGCTCATGTAATTATTATATTGTGTTGAACATTATTCACACATATTAAAATAAGACAAGAGAAGAATACATTTGTATTCCGACGATGCTTGTATCAGGCATGCATAACCTATAGTTGGCCACAAAAACTAAAAAATGTCATACAGAGCACTAATATAAACAAGTAAAAAAAACGTCAGCAAGGTGCATTCATATCCAAATCTAATGCAACAGGTACAGGGCGGAGAAAAAAGGAAGGTAATTTTACATGGCAAAATTTGAGCAAAATCGGTCGAATCTGAACCTGAGAAATCAAATTTAAGATATGACTTTTTCAAAATTCGATTTCTCAGAACTATTCAACTGATTTCACTCAATTTTTTATTTTGTCAAGTAAAATTATATTCTTCTTTATATTATATTCTTTAAAATGATGCAAAAAAGGATGATATATTGGTAAACTTTACAATTCAAAACTTTTTCAACCTTTCTTAAATAAAATGATAAAAAAATAAAACTTTACTAAAAGTTATTTTTTGTATGAAATTATCTTTGGATAAATAAATTTCATAATTGAGTGTAAAAATTTTTTCAATTTGCTTAAATAGTTCAAGATATGGAGAAATACACAAGAAGTAAAATGAACATTAAGAGGTCCAAACTTTGGAGTGCTCTCCTGATCAAAAGTGGGACCAGATTTATCAGATTGCAGTTACCCCATATTTTTAGGGATCAGAAATCAGAATGTGCCGAAAAAAGGTATGTTTATTCAGCAAAAGTACGTTGTTGTGACTGATTTTGTAACTTAAAATATTGTCTGCACTAATTAATCAGCATATTTGAGGTCAACCCGTCTAGCCATTAAGATTGGGTCCTAAAAAGTGAAAATCCAATCATTAGATCAAAAGTTATTCAGTGTGGTCCATTTTTTTTTCTTTCTTTTTTTTTCGCTCAGTGCATGCATAGCAATAAGTAAAATTTGTAAAAAATTACATTTTCTAAGAGAACTGAACACGTGAGCAACCGTGACCAAGAAAGTTTTAGCCTGAACACTCAGGTTTGCACTAAAACAATAAGAGAATAAAAGAGCAGAGTAACCAGTTAAAAAATGTATTCATTTATCATTTTTTTTTCATTAAAAAAAAACACTTTTATATATTTTCTATTAATATTAAAAAAAGGGGTCAAGTCATAAAATTCAAAGTTAACTTTTGAATCATGGGCTTTAAGTTTAACATCTCTGCTCATATACTGATACTACTGTTACCTCTTTTAATGTTTATATTTTTTATGAGGCAACAATATGAAAATTATAATTATATAAGCAATTATACAAGCTAATTCTGCAAGAGCTAGTTAACATATGCAGCACAGTTTTGACCATTTTGTGCTTCAGCATTTACAGAAGCCATTTTATCCTAATAAGAAATATCATTAACAATTAATATTTTCTAATTTAAAAAAAATAAAAAAAGAACTCTAAAGATATTAAAAATTCTCCAAATAATTTTTTCAATCTACAAAAAAAGATACAAACAAATGACATACTTTGCTTTACTTAACATGATCATAAATATACAAATTAAGTAGGAACCAAATGTGAAAATTAATTTTAAAAAAAGCAAATAAATTTAGTTTTATAGTTCTAGCACAACAAACAAAAATACATAAAATGGCATGAATGCAAAAAGCTATACTACCTGAAGACTTTTATTACTTGGAATAGAAATATTTCACTATTTTATGATATCATTGAGAAACTGGAAATAACTACAGAATCTGAAAAGAACAAAATTATATTACAGAACACTTTCTAACTGTTTGTAATAACCCAAAGAAAATTTTTTATGATACAAAATCAACAATGCTTGTTTTTGTTTTAAAAAGTAAAAAAAAAACATGATTAATCAGAAAATAAGATTGTTAAAAAAATTTTTACAAAACTAAATAGTACATTTAATTGAAATATAAAAAATATGTTAAGTTATAAAAGAAAAACATTTCTTTATTTGAAATTAACAAGTAATAGTAGTAGTACTTTATTTACATCACATCATAGTTGCACAATGGCCTACTGCCGAAGGTCTGGAAAACGTACTTGAGGATGATCCCAGGACATGTACAATTACAATTTACAATACATGCCTCAGCAAAGATAGCTTCCTCACCTCAGTAGCCAGATAAACTATGTGTGAAGTCAAGCTCTTTACAGTAGAAGGGTTTAACGAGGATTGATACCTCACACCCTTAGCTTACTCAGAGACTGACTAAAGTAGTTACCCACCCAATTACTGAGCGCAGCCAATGACGCTTGACATGGGTGATCTACTGGGAACCCTGTCTGAAGATCAGTCTACCATAGTACTCTCACTAATGAAACATCATAAATCGGTGTAACTAATGATAATAAATGCAATAATAAAACACCATGCAATTCTTAACTAAAGTATGCATTACCTACAATTCATAACCAAGGACCATGCAAAGAGCTTAAAATTATTAGTCAGTAAATTAGCCAATTATCAAAAGTATTAGACAAATTTCGAAAGTCTTAACAGAAGGTAAATCTTAACTATTTTTTATGATTAATTTTTTTCCCATAAAAAACTACAAATAAAAATACAAATTTACAATTAAATTATTAATTATAATTAATTAAATTATTTTAGAAAATGCAAATTCAAGTCATTTTACAGTTGGGGAGGAGTAAATGAACAATGAATAGAAAAAGAGGATAAAAAAATGTTGGCGTTGCTTTAGTGTCTTTGGGGGGAATATGAATTCATTGAGGAATATGAATTCATCTTAGGCTAGAGCAGTAATATAAGGATAAACCTGAAATAACATTTGATGTTTTCTTACATTTCCACTATCTTTTTAAATGAATATCTTTCATTTTAAATGTAAAATTTTATTTTTTAGAGAAAAATTTTTCTCACACTTATTTTTTACTATCCTGATTATAATCATTAAAAAAAAAGTATCGCAATAGAAGAAAAGTTATCAGGGGTCTGTCCAGACATTTTGTGAAAAGTCAGTTTTTGTAAAATTGTGAAAAAATTACTCGTAATTTGTGAAAGTAAAATAAACGTTAAGTCAAATTCTCTCAACCAGGGTCCTGCTTTTGTGAATTTGTGCAAATAGGGTCCTGTTATTACAAAAAACTTTTTCAATGACTTTTTAGATTGTAAAGAGATACAAGATTATGCTCAACACTGTAAAATAATAATAAAAAAAATGATTTTAAAAAATGAACAGCAATTGCTGCTACTAAGTTAGAGATGCAACATACAAATATTTGGTATTTAGCCTAGACTGCTGAAAGCAGAATATTCATTTCGGACGAATAAAGGAAGAAGTGTCTGCTGAAGACAAAACTTAATTCGTTTATATCTGTCTTTCTTTACCCCCATTCTCCTGGGAAGGGTTTAGAATACAATAATGAAAATAAACAAATTTGTGAAGGGTCCGATTAAAAGATAAATTATTTTGAGAAGGGTCCGTTAGCGAACCCAAATTTCTTCTAAACAGACCCCTGGTTATTTAAATTGTTTTATTTTACTTTATTCTGTTTTATTGGTTTTTATACTACTCACACAGACGTTTTATTGAAATTTGTCAGTCGAGTGCAGGTGTTTGTACTATATCTATCATTGAAGAGTGGTAATCTCTAAAGACAAAATCAAAGTTAAAATTTCTTATTTTTGCATCCATTCTGGTTTTTAAATTTTACAATGGGTTTATTTTAACAAAAAATATATTATTTTCACGAGAAACAATGTTTTCTGCAAAAATTACTTAACTAATTTGTCTCGATTGCACATCACTGGCTTCCAAAAGAATTTCATTCATGAAAACATCAAAAAATGGACAAAGAAAACTTTAAATTATGAAAAGAAAAAAATTATAATAAAGTGAATTGTAATAGAATATATCACAGGGTGCAATCAGAAAAAAAGCAAGGTAAATCGGAAATGGTAATTAATAGGTATGAACTCACGATATCCTTAATAACGTTACATTATGAGTAACAGGTTATAAAATAATTCAACCTGAACAACAAATGTAAAAGATTCAATTGGGATCGTGTATAATTCATCTCAAATTTATTTGGAATCACAGCATGCAATGATTAAAATGTTTGCATATAACGAAGCACTTACAACAAATATAAAAAGTACACAATCGGTTATTGTGACGATATTCATGATTATAGCAAATAATTATAAAGAACTTAGTTCTTAGAATCCGAGACCATATTAAAGCTTTAAAAGAAAATAGATCAAGCACAAAACTTATAAAAACTAAAGATTTGAAAATCCTACAAATATTACTTTTTTATGGATGAAAGCCATAGTTTGGAAAACTGTCACTTAAGTGACGAGAGGGCATCTTAGAGAATTTAATTTTCTGTTGCCTGCGATTTACATTCAATTAATAAAGGTTCTTTTTTCTCTTCTTAAAAATATATTATCAACTTACAGACAGCTGAAATTAGTAAATAAAAGATGAAAACAGCTATTGGAAATGACACCTTGTTGCCATCCAGGATATACTTTGAGGTAAAATTGTTAGTGAAGACTACAGTGGCCTTAAGAGTAGTAAGCAATTCACACTGCTTGAGAAAAAAATCGCGTATGCGAATTTGCAGAGGTGAGAGCGAAACTAATTAGTTAATATTATCAGTCACACCTCTGAATTTGCATGCATTTTTTGCATGAAAACTTGAAGCCTCTTGACATCCCTGAAGTGTGGAATTTATGCAGTGTCAGTTCGTGAAGAATGGATAGTGTTTTCTACACGCTACAAGCTCTTGACCGCCTATACTTCCGGGTTACTGTTTTTAGTGTATTTTGAAATCATTTGGCTCACAACGTGATCATTGTGTTTTGAAGTTATCTTGAGTAGTATTGTTTACATGTATTTGTAATCCGATTTATTATTTGTGCTTAAGAAAAAAATCATTATAAGAATCTCCATTTGAAAACTCGTCATTTCAATTCATAGGAAGTGTCATTTCAAAAAAAAATCGTTATAAAACACTTCCTATCTTGTAAACAATACACCAACTTCAAAATTTAATCCTAAAGGATATTTTGTGAAATGAACTAAATCTTCCTGCTCCATTAATATGCTAACACTAACGTATGATTGCTCACAGCTTGCAACAAGTGCAAACAGTAATAAATAAGAAAAAAGATTTCGTCAGGATAGCCAAAAAGCGACTTCCTTCTAAATCTAGCAACCATGCCACCTTTTTTAAATAATACATCTGTTGTTGTTGTAGTTCATTTACGTCACACTAGAGCTGCACAATGAGCTATTGGCGACGGTCAGGGAAACATCCCTGAGGATGATCCGAAGACATGCCATCACAATTTTGATCCTCTGCGGAGGGGATGGCACCCCCGCTTCGGTAGCCCAACGACCTACACGCGAAGTCGAGCACTTTACGGTAGCACAGTTTAACGAGGACCAATACCGCACACCCTCGGTCCCTACGCAGACTGATCCAAGTGGGTCACCCACCCGCACACTAACCGCAGCCAGTGATGCTTGACTTCGGTGATCTGCTGGGAACCGTGTCTTAACGATCAGTCCACTGCGGGACAAATAATACATCTCGAAATAACTTAAACAAATTTTCACTCTAAACTCACCAGAATTACTTAATATCAGAAATATCTTACGAAGAACAGCAGATTTTAACTCAGAAATTATATAATTTTATTAAAAGCAAAATTATCAATTTGAAATTGAGTAAGCAGTTGTATACTTTCTAACCGGAAATAAAGCAGGTCAAGAGCTCGAGATTGTTGCTCTTTACATTGATTTTGAAAACACCATCCATACCATGTGTTTCGCATGTAGCCGGTATAATTATAATTTATATATATATATATATATATATATATATATTATTTTTTTTTTAAATATTATGTGATGTATTTTATTAAATACTTCATTTTAAGACGCATTACTAAGTATACAATACACAATACAATAGTATACAATAGCTTATGTAAAGAATAATTTTGTGTTGGTGAAGAGGTGTTCTCCAAGCATCACCCTTACTATATATTAATAGCATCCTTGTACAAAAAGAATCCGAAATAACCAGTAGCGGGAAGGTCACAAATATATATTTGATAGAAAGATCCAAAATTTAAAAAAAAAAAGTTGTCAAGCGGTTTTTGAGCACAATTAACTTTAGTGACAATTATTGCCCATTCCTTAATTTTTCTAACCACTATAAATTAGTTGAACCGCCTGTCAATTTCACATTATAAATAAAATGTTTTTGATGATCTTATTTCGCCTTTAATAGTAATTGATCTTAACAATCATTCCTAGATTTTGATTACGATTTTCTTTTTCCTCACTTATAAGTACAAACTAATAATTCCTCACTAACTGTGATGGTAGTTAATTTTGACAATACTATAAAAATATGTTAATCATAATTGCAGAACACTTGTATAATACGGATAGCTATATTCTACGAAACCGTACATTTAACTAAATTGTTGGATAATTGAATTCTAACCATGTCTGTAGATATTTGTCTCTGCATCCTCTCTCTAGGACACCGCATCATGATTTATTGCTGAAAATCTGCCTGTAAGTATTGTCATTTTAGCAAGCATTTAAGTTTTATAGACAAGTTTCAAATCATATNCATTAACGCAATATTATCCAGTGTTTATTAATAATTTTGAGTGACAATGTAAAAAGATAGTTGTTCTAAAGTTTTATAATAAAATGTTTGTTTTGATAGAACGCAGTTATTTATTTTAGAATTCCAATATACTTTAATAGCTTTCATAAATCGGGTACAGTTATTGGAAGCACGAATCAACACTCTCTCAAAAAACTATTTACATTAAATCTTAGGCGATATCAACAGCGGCATAGAGCTGAACATGATTTAGCTGCACAGAATTAACTGGAAAATAATCTTAGTGCTATCAATACGCGACGGCGGAATGCGCGGCGAAGAAACGTTGAAAAGTCAAGACGTTTAAACGAAAACGAATATCTTGGTGTACTTACGAATACTTCTGATTGAAACTAAAATATTTTGTCAGTTGACAGTATTGAAGTTAATTGAGCAATTACTTGCAATGTATTTGCTTTTGAAATATTACTTAGAATCAACTTATTAATATTACGTGTTTTAATTTGTTAGTAATTTTTGTAAAGTTTTTTTTCATCAGGTTTTAATTGCTTTTAGTTTAAAATTTTAAATTACTGGGGGGGGGGAGATAAAGCACCATATAGGGAGCGTCCGGCATCCTATTAGATCAACAATGATTTGAGTTAGGCTCTACCACGCGTGCTTCAGATACGGAGATTAATCTCCGGCTAATGCCCTATAGTATTGTGTTAAATAATATTGCTTTCTCGCTTTATATAAGTTTATAATATTGTTTGTATTGAAATTGTTTCATATAAGTTTATAATAATGATAATAAGTTCCTCTGACATTTTACAATCCCATCATATTCTCTCTATGTGATGTTGGTGCAGAAAAATTGGCAGCTAATCTCCAGGAAAACGACTTTAAGTTTGTTCGCGAAGCGAACGAAAATGTTATTGCGTAGCAATTATCGGGGGTTGGCGAGCGGTAGTGAGCAAGGGGAGGAGCTTGTCTTGTTGGTTGGCCTTGGGTGCCTGAGGCCGGAACGGCCCTTTACCCCTTCATCATGAGATGAGTTCCTGGAGGTGTTTCCTTCTGGTGCTGTAGATCTAAAATTGAAAGTAGAAAAATTAGTAATGAGCAAATTGCTCATGCGGTATCACATAAAGTGATGCCTTTTGTAATTACATACATAAAAATACATAAAAGTACCAATACATAAAATACAGTTAAAATTTACATAATAATACAGATAATCAAAATAAATAGTAAAAATTAAACTTCTAATGTGAAGTTTGACCAGTATTGTACGCCCCTAGTACAATTTTTCTCTGTCATCTCATTCTTAATTCTCTAACATCTCTTTCCTTCCATTCTCACTAACCATGCAGGTTCTCTTTCTCTATCTCTTATTGCAAATCATAGTGATTTTGTCAACGCATTTCAATCTTTTCCTAATTTAGGATTGTTCAGTGAATTATAGTGCCATTATACAAAGTATCGGTCCATTGAAATTTAAGCCATTCTATAAATTTTTACTTCTAGAAAGAAATTTGTCCTAGATTTATCTCTACGTCAATCATTCCAGTCTTTCGTTATGTACAATGTTCATTCATTCTAGAATTTTGCCCTATTACAAAGCATTGTCAGTATTATAACAAATCTATACGATTTCGTCTGCATATATATAATATTTACATGTCATGTCCGAGTTAGGCTTCCACATTTAGTGTATCGATATTGCCATAAATAATGCCATTGAGTTTATCTCACATGGTCAGAATTACATCACTTGTGAAAAAGTGTGCAATTGGCCTCAGGGAGGCGTCTTCTGCTAAATTTTCGTACTAAAAAATTGAGTCGAAATTTGCTGCATTGCAGTCTAGAGCCTTTTTAAAAAAGTTTAGATTTAGTTTGTTAAAGTGATGTTCGAAACTGTCCAATTCTAAGTCCGTGTGTATGTCAACGTTTCTTTGATACCACTCTGCGCCTGTTAGTTTTCTTAAGATCTTGCTCTGCGTTACTGTGAGTTTCCCAAGCTCACGTTCTGATACATTGCACCATGCTGGCGAGGCATAGGTCATGATTGGCCTTATCATGGAGATGTACAGTAGCCTTTTCAATTTCAAGCTCAATTTTTTGCTGTACATTATGGATTGCAGTTTTAGAGTTGCAGCATTGGCTTTATTCTTCACATTTTTCACATGATCCGACCAAGTCAGTCTGTTGTTAATGACTAGACCTAAATAGGTAGCTTTGTTTACCCTTGGTATCACATGATTAAATAGTACCAGTTCATTATGCTCGCTAATTGATTTCCTGTTCTTCTGGATAATCAATAGTTGGGACTTTTGAGCATTGATCTCGAATTTCCAATCTAAACACCATTCTTCGCAATCGTAAATCTTTTCTTGCAGTTTCTCTATTGCCATGTTCGGGTTGCTAGATCTCACTATGGCACCTGTGCATATATGGCAACGTTACTTTTAA